TCCCTCATGGTCTTTTGAACAGTCACACATTCCTGGTTTGGCAGAGCACTTTAGCTGCTGTAGGCTGAGACCAACTTGCTCTGAGCAGAATGAGAAATTGGTGGTTTGACATGTGTTGTGTGTTCCTCTTTCAAATACAAGAGGAAGCTGTCAATGCCTTTTATGGAGCGTGCGGCACAAAAGGCCAAGAGTCTGAATAGTTGTCTTGGTGAGACTAACTGCAGGAATGCCTGGCACAGTGAACTCAGGGACGTCTTTCAGAGGAATTTTTTCATTTAGTGAGGATTTGACATGTGGAGCCTCCCAGCAGAACCAGCCATACCCTCTAATGTGCACCGGGAAGTAATCAATGTACAGCAAGACATTTGGCATTTTCACTGATTCTGTGTTGCTGTCTACACACTGGAGACCAAAAGGGAAAAGGCAGCCTGCTTTTCTTTATGTTTGCCCCCTTTTCCCACCTTGAAGACCCGGAGCATTCTCTGTCAGGCTTTCTGCTGATCGAACTACTTCTTGCTTGTGTTTTTTTTTTCTACTTTATTATATAACCTGTCAGAATGTGTCCAGGTGCAGTTTGTGTTTTTAGACTGTATTGATCTGGGATTAACTTGTGTTTACCGTCGGTCTGAATGGGTCCACATGGTTCTTTTGACTTCATGAGACGGCTCTTGTCCTGGATTTAAAAACAGGTCTGACACTGCTCAGATTTGTTATGAATGGCTGCTTCCAGTAACCACGGCTTTGATGTCATTTCTATGGAGTTTCTATGGTGCTACTGTCACTTTACTGCTTTGGAAATTGGTGACAACTTGAAGCAATCAGACTTTTCAACATTACTGCAGAGCGCAGTTGTGCATTCATTTCCCTCCTAATTCATCAGGAAGTACGGTTATAAATTTTGGTCATGTGTGAACTGTGACCACCAGGTAATAATCTGGCACAGCAGTTTGGTACAGAGGGGAACATTATGTTCAGGCTCAGGCTTTCTGTGTGCGATTGGCAAAAGGCACAGTACCGCAGTGTGGAAAAAACTAGTATGAAACCCCAACAGTAAATCTGTTATTGCATTTAAATATTTAAAGTCCCTCTTCAGTCATTGATTTAACTCGTAAAACTCGTCTCTGTGTATCTGCATTTAGAAGTTTTTCCATTAAAACAACCCTTCCTACCTTAAAATAGTGTAAATGTAACCTGATTACAGACTCGAAGGCAGGATTAAGTTTCCTGTTTAGACTTTAAAATAATATACTGTATATATATCATGTTGCCTCAATAATACTTGACCGTAACTATCATCTTTTTCTTTTGTGTCTCCTTTGTGTGTGTTTTTGTGTCTTGTTTTTGTTGGTTAGTGTCTCCTTTGTGTTGTTTTATATCTCTTTAATGTCCCTCTGCGTCTCGTTTTTACCACATTTAATGTTTGTGCTCTTTTGTGTCTCACTTTTTGTGTCTTGTTTATGTTGTTGTGTCTCATTTATGTTGTGTTATGTCTCTTTTTTGTCATTTTGTGATTCATTTTGTCTAGTTTGTGTCTCTCATTTTTGTTGTTTCGTCTCTCCTTTGTGTTGTGTAATGTCTCTTTTTCACTGTCTTGTTTGTTGCGTTTTGTTTGTGTCTCTTCCTTGTCTCCTTTCTTTTGTTTTGTGTTGTCATGTCGTGTCTCGTTTTTCTTTTCTGTCATGTTTGTGTCTGCTTTTTGATGTTTTCTCGTCATCAGTGTTTTGCTGTTCCAAGGTGGAAATACTCAGCCATGGTGTTGACTGTATATTTTACTCATCTGTCTTCTAGCATATAAAAAACCCCCCTTTGGCCTTTTTGGGAATGGGAAAGGTTTTGTTTTTTTTTTTTTTTTTTAACCAGACGACGTCCTTAGCAAGATAATTTTGGGGCTCAGGTGGTGGAGCAGGTTGTCCACTAATAGAAAAGTTGGCGGTTTGACCTCCAGTCCCTCAACATGCCAAAGTCTCTTCGGGCAACATTTTACATGGCGACAGTCTGTTAGGGGGAATGACAAACTCATTGTAGAGCACTTCGTAGAAGCTACGAGGGAAAGGTTCTCGGCCACACACACATAAAAGGAGACAGATTGTTCTTGCATAATTTTACAACATAGTCTCCTTTAACTTCAGTACTCTTGATCCACTGATGTTCAAGCTTCATCATCCCTCCACATACTCCTCAACGCCATGCATCACCCCATCATCACTTTGAAAATGGCACGTTAGGGAAACAGAAGTCAGACGGTGCAGGTCGGGTCACTTAGGTTCAGCAGTTTAAAGCCACATTTGGCTGCTTCTGCCAGCTGTGTTTATGTGGACGGATGCATTGTCCTGGAGCAACGCCAACCAGATCGAAGCTTTTCTCTTCTTTTTTTTATCACTTTGAGTTTTTTGGGACAGCGATATGAGGCTTTATAATATACAGTTACGCCCCAAAATGGGAGTTCCACCTCTTGTTTCCAGGTGAGGCCGAGAACCTTTTGGAGTGCCCTGGTAGCTGAGGTTAAAAGCTGCTCTCCTCGTGCAGGCATTATACTATATTTCTGTCCTAATCTGTTACAGGAAAGTGAGCCTGGAAAACTTGAAACCGATGAAACTTTTGAATGGCTGTTTTCAAAGTTAATAGTCCATCTTACCCTTACCGTCCAAGTGAAACAGTGATGCAATTTTGGTGACAGCAGGTCGAGTGCCACTCGAACGCTCCACTCCAGCACCGGCAGACGGACAGATGGTCTGGAAAAAGCCGGCGCTGCCAAACCCAGGACTAGTCAGGGAGAGAGACAAGGGGGCATGTGTGGGGAATCTAGCTAGTCAGCAGTTTGTTTAAAGCTAAATCAACCTTCGGCATGGAGTTGTTTTGCTCGGTGCGCTCTCTACCTCCACTGTGCAGCAACCATTATGCACTGATCTCGCTTTCCTCGGTTTGCGTCTTGCTTGCTGTGGCCCTCTTTGGATTTTTTTATCTCCTTCAGCCGACCCGCTGATCCTCCTTTTCTCGCCGCCTCTTTTTCTCCCTTTCTGAATGCGGAGCTCTCTCTGTAAGCTATTGATTGCTGTTTTCTTGCCTCTCAGCCTCAGTCCTGCTCCCATCATGCTCCACTGCTTGTTGAATCAAGCCTGAGCTCGGCCACAGACTGCATCCCTGTGGGCCTATTGGGGGGAAAATCAAAGATGGGACTGTTTAAGATGGAGGAGGGTCACTGGTTCAAAGAGGGGCCATGCAAACACGTGTGTGGTTATATTTCAGGATGAGGTGTAAATATTTTAGAATAATAAATATTTAAGACTGCGCTCTCGAAAAAGCACGAGCGGCGTTATGAAGCAACACTTGGAGTTACATTATGTAAATGTATGTTTTAGTAGAGGGAAATATTCATGTTTGTGATGATATTAAAGTTGAAGTCAAAGTATGTGAAGCCTGTATGAGAAGAGGAAAGTTCTCGATCTGTTTACTGGCTGTTAGAGTCATGATAATGAACATGTTGCTTTGGAGTTTGCTCATGTCAGTGCCAACTAGAAACAGCAACACTTGTTTGTCACAGTGAAACAAACGTATAGATGTTTTGCTTCTTACATTTTTAATTTGCTTCTATGCTTATCTACTAACTGGTCTGTGTAACCAATGTCTGCAGTTGAGCCAAATAGTCCTTGAATTTTTATCACGTCCACAGTCGAATGGCTTCTCAATTTTGCAGAAGAGCGCAGATTTTTATGTTTTTGCAGAATGTTTTGAGCGCAGACAGCTTATTTTTGGCATTTTTAAAAAACAAAATGTGTAAAATAAAGTGGTTTTGATTAAATAGCGTAATTTTAAGCTTAGAAAATAAGTTGCAATGAACATTTTGCTTTGGATTTTGCTCCTGTCAGTACTAAATGACCAGAAGCAGCAACACTTGTCTGTTCCACTGACACCAATGTTGGCTCTACATACGATAGATATTTTGCTTCTTACATTTTCAATTTGTTTCCGTGCTTATCTAATAACGGTTTTGTGTAAACACTGCCTGCAGTCCAGCTGAAAAATCCCTGAACTTTTGTCACGTGACTGGCGGTCGCAGTCGAGTCACTAATGGCTTCTCAGTCATGCAGAAGATTGCATATGAGTGAGTTTTTAGTTTTTGCAGAATCTTTTGAGAGCAAACAGTTTATTTTTGGTAATTTTTTTAAACGAGACATGTAAATAAAGAGATTTTCATTAACTATCAAGGGTAAAAGCGTAGAAAATAAATTTGAATGAACATTTTTGCTTTGGATTGTGCTCCTGTCAGTACTGAATGACTAGAAGCAGCAACACTTCTCTGTCGCACTGTAGATGCCTGTCAACCCTTTTTAATTAACAGCTGATGAAAGAAAACGAAAACATTTGTTGAGACGATGAAACAACCACAGTGGTGCCGCTGCGTGCTTTCCAGCTGTAGCGCTGCGAAATAAAACATGATGACATCTGTCCTGCTGCATTTATTCTTTAAAGCCTTTGAATTAAGCTACAAGACGGATCACAGGAATTAGTTTTATTCCCGCCTCACTCTAGTTGTATTAAAAAACCAGTGAGTTTTTAAATCAAGACCATTTAGAAGAATTTGCAAGTTGCTTTCTTTCGTTTGTCGGGGCGGCTGACCCTGCTTTTAGCATATTTTATTTATTCAGGGGAGTCAGTTTGAGGTGACAGAGCAAAAGAAACAAGGACGAGATGTGGAGTCAAACTGAGGTCAGTGGGGGAACGTGGAGCTCCAGAGGCTGCATCCATTACAGCTCAGCGATTTTAGCAGGAGGGGAAGACGAGCTTCATGGAAATAGGCTGTCATGACTTTTTTACATATTTTACTAGATGTTTATCCAGATGCTGCTTTTGGGTCGGCAGCCCGAGAGCTCCTGCGTGTGGTGTAGACAGTTATACATGTAGAAAAGCCCAAAATAAATGCAGTTTACTGAAAAAAATCTGTCAGATCTAACTAATTTTCTTTCCTTCTTTCCCCCCAAATTTTTTGTTTCTGTCTTCAGTGAGGGTCGAGTGGAAGTGCTGGGCGGCGGCAGCATCCAGATTTACAACCTCACGGAGGAGGATGCCGGCATCTACACCTGCGTGGCGGAAAATTCCAACAGCACCATCGAAGCTCAGGCCCAGCTCACAATACAAGGTACCTTTATTAACCCACATCCTCTGATTTCTGTCCTACGACCAGAAGAATAAAAATCACAACAGCACCAACATCACGGATGAAAGATACGTACGATATAATGTTCACCACAAGATGTTAACCATCTTATCCTGGTCATAAGTCAGCCAATATGTGAACATATTAGTGGCTTCATTGTTTGGGGTAAATTAGAAACCAAGCGAGAGTGCTGCCGAAATGAATGCACAGATTGGAAATTAGTGAGAAGCAGTGGCAGGCGAGGTTGCATTAGTTACTGAAGGAGGTTGCAGTGGAGGAGAGCTGAGTCTCTCCAGGTCTGAGCTGCCAAACCAGCCTTCCATCACCGAAAAACAGTTTCATTTCATCTTATTATGTTTGGGAATGAGCTTATTAAAAGCCCTCTGGACTCGTATCCCAGACGTGAAACAGAAGCTACTGCGAGTTTAGCTGGAAATGAAATGAAACAAGGTGTATTTCTTGCATGCAAACTATGCCGAGGTAACTGAGCTCTGCAGAGATAAGCTGCACAGTATGAAATAGAATATGCTCTTGTAGACATCTAGGTAGTGTTGACAGCGAATATTCTGCATTTTAGGCAGCGTGTGAAGTGTTTGTACTTGTTTATATCTGCTTTTTTACATAATTCAACTCCACACAGGAATAACAGAAGGATCTGAGCTGCATATAAAGATGAACACAAACACTAGATCTAGAACAGACTGAAAGGCTGGATGACAGTTTTCTTAGAAGCTAGACAACAATGTGAGAAGACACAAACAATACACGACTGCTACTCTAACAGTTTGTCTGTCTTATTATGTGCCAAAATACATTTAAAAGGCCTAACCACACTTATGTTTACAGATTAAACCTTAAGTTTCTGGAACGTTTTCACTCACTTGGAGCTCATTTTTCACTCCAGTATAAAGTTCTGCACCTTCATGGAAGCAACACAACCATGGCTAATAGTAAAGAACTCAAAAATGTCTTCTGTGCAGTACAACATACTTATAATGCCATAAATCATAAAAAAAAACAAAAGTTGAATTTCTTTAATTGTTTATTTTACTGAAAAACCTTAAATCAACATGTGAAAGCTTTTCCCCAAATGCACACAGGAGTTAGAGAATACTGGAGACAAATTTTAGCTCTAAATAGAGCGCTATCGATATTTTGCAACTCACATTTATAGTTTGTTTCCATGTTTATCTACTATCTGTCCTGCGTCAACACTCACTGAAAAGTCACAGAATGTTTGGTCACATGACGTTCAGTTGCGAGCACTGAATTTTTTGTTTTTTGTAGAATATGGTGAAAGCAAAGAGATATTAAAGAGATGTGTAGAATGAGGAATTTTGATGAAATATCTCAATTTGAAGCTTAGATTTGGTACCTTTTCAGAAAGAATCACACATCACCCACGACTAGTTCAGTTTGAGAGCTGAATTTTTTTATTCACCTATTTATTTATTTTCTACATAACTTCCTGGCTCTGATAAATGATGTAGTTTTGGTGATTAAAAGACAACAAAGCTTTCTAATCAGCTGATGGGTTTAGGGGTTGAGAGAGTTTGGTAAATTGGCAACATTTAACAAAATAATCAGCGTTGCTTTTTGAACTAGTTTTGCATTTTGCTCTTCATCACATTACACCACTAGGCATTCCTCTTCAAACAAACATGAAAAAACTTTTTGCCAACACTAAATGACTGCATCAGGCTGATTTACAGTATATGTGAAAAACAGCATATTTACAACAAACTGTAGTAAAAGGCTGAAAACTGTCAGTTGTACAGTGAAAGCTCAACACGTGGATGCTTGTTGCTCACCGCTGTTGGTGAAATTCCACAGATACACAAGTTCCACAGATTTTGAAGGTTACTGATATTGACAGTCAGGCCTATTATTGTTGTTATTTATAATTTTCTGACATTCACACACAAACACAGTGTAATTAGCTGTTATAAGTGACAATTTTTACACTGACCTGATGGGATGACAGTCACGTGTCAAAGGTGTTCAACTCTACAAAGTTAAAACAGCAAAACAAACACATTATATCCAATAACGGTGCATCATGTTGTTTTACTTTCAATTATTTGGAGGAGAAAAAAATGTATTTATTATCTCTCTTAATGTGAGTTGTATTTGTCTCTTCTAGAATCATGCAGTTTCACGATAGTAGTTGTCGTTTCAGCTTTATCTGTGTGCAAAAGAAATCATTTTTAACCACGTAGCTGGAGTCTGGCCATGAGTAATACCTCTGAGTAAACGAGTTTTAGCGAAACTATTTCAGATATTCAAAGTATGCAGATGGTTACGTAAGCAGAGTCGGTGCGCTGGACTCAAACCTATCAGACACAGCTACTGTAGCTGCGCTGTAATTGTCAGACTTTATGTCGGTGAGAAAAATCCGCATGAACGCAGATGTCTCGTGTGGATTTGTACGCTTTTTCCCAGGTGAAGCAAGTCAACAGGATTTGGTGTGAAATAGCTTGAAAACGGGGAAACACCCCGAGGCTCATTCCAGAGGTTCATTGCATTTCACACGCAGCCACATCGTGCTACGACTCCCAGCCTTTCTTCCCAAATCCCTTCATCTCTTTATCACCCCTCCACCACCCTTTCATCACTTCCCGTCGCTTACTGTGATTAAAGGAGACAGTAATGGAAAATCGGATCAGGTCGCAGGAGGACATCTGACTTCACTCGTTTTCAGTCTTCAAGTCCGACCGCCGGATTCCCTCTGAAATCCTTCACGCTTGCAGCCTGACCCCTGCAGCCCCCGGGCTTCGCTGTGACCAGACTGTAGGCGATTGATCAGCGCTCTTATGATATTGTTGACAGGCATGCATCATTGTAATACAATAAATCAGTTTGATTAGCTCCCATGCTGTAGACTCGCGAGGCTAATTGCATTCGCCGCATCCGGATTCATGGAGAAACCAGATTGCGGCATTGATTTGCTCCCCTGACGACAGAAGTGACACTGGAAAGGTCAATTGATTCCCTCAATAAGTGGTTACGCCTGTAGAAGACACTCAGATCAATGTGGTATGAATCTATAGCAACAACAAAACAATTTTTCCTACAGCCGACTCCTCCCTGGAACACCTTAGGGCTTGTGTTGCTGCAGCAGCAAGAGGAAATTGTGTGTTTACGGCTAGTGGCTTTTCATAAGCGCTGGACGGTTTGTGCTGGAGAGGAGATGCAGAGAGGCAGCTGGGGATTCGATATGGTAAAGCTCTGTAAGGTTTCGCCTGGAGATAGCTGGAGGGTCTGTGATGCAGCTGGATGTAGAGACGCATGCCTGCACACACACACACACACACACACAAACAAACATTTTTACATAATGACGCTGCAGAAGGTCAGTCCCACACTTTACTCCACACACCTGGAGGCATTCAGCAGAAAATGCGTGTAGTCGAACGTAAATGATTTTCAGGTTCGCTCTTGATTCACACGCTGAAGTTAATTTAACCCTGCTCGGATGATGTTACCCACGAAGCTTCTTCAGCGTGTGAGATCTGTTTTCAATCAGCGAGTCGGTGACCTTTGTCTGCTACACAAGGAGGGTCAAGTGTTTGCATGTTGCTAAAGGACAAGGCTGATGCTGCTCCATAGGTTTCTCAATGTCAGTGATCCTGCGTTTGATCCTGGATATAGAAACCTTTTCAAACATGCTGTATGCAACATGGCTGCTTCATTATTCTGGTGAAGTGATGGCGTCCTGTCTTTTTTTTTTTTACATTAATGTTGCTCAGGATTTTATTCATGGAGAGAGTCACAGTATGTGCACAATATTTTTCATACCTGTAACATTGGACAGCACATGAACTGATGCATAATTCAATAATAACAATACAAAAGACTAAATCCTGTCCAAATAACTAACAGCCGACTTTATTTACAGTTTTATAAAACACTGATAATTCTGTCCATGTGTGATGATTGTCTACTTCACCAACAGTAGAATAAAAACATCCTAACAGCTGTGATGGAGCTCAAGACTCAACTGCTGTGTAACAAATAATTCAACTGCAGCTGATAAACTGTGACTGTGTGTGACAGCTCACCTGTCTCAGGTAAACAACACTACAGGGTGACGTCTGGTTAGATTTCACTGATCCTGTCTCCATGTCAGGGATTATTTGCACTTGTAAGTAATTAACAAGGTTATGTTGTGCATAAATGTGTGCAACCCTCTTGCTTCGGAGACACTGATAAAGATCCTGCAGGTGTTTAATAAAGTCAGAGGAAAGACTCCTACAAACAGCCGAAAGCTACAGACTAAACTGTAACTCCTGCTAACGTTTGTCAAAATCCAGATTACGTTTTTTACTGGTTGCAAATTCTGTCTTCCTCATAGTAAAGCCAAATAAATGTAAAATTGTAGAGCAAAGTGAACAAGAGAGGCGCTCTCTGTCGTGTTTTTGATTCAGATTCAGAATACTTTATTATCATTCATACAAATTACATCAAGGATGCACTGCAGAACGAAATGACGATGCATGTTCAGCGATAAAAACACACACACAGTTAAAATAAAACACACACAGTTAAAATACCTGAGATAAATAGTGTTATGAATACTGTTGCGGTCGTGCAGTGAGTAAAAATAAATAAGAGGTTGTTGCACATGTCCCAAAAGTAACTGCCCATGTGAAAGGCAGTAGCGTGTCTATGCTAATATTAATATTTACACTCCTCTGTTTAAAAGACGGATGCTGTGGGAAGGAAACTGTTCCTGAACCTAACAGTTTTGCATCTCAAGCTGTGGTACCTCCTGGTGCTAAAATGTGGGGAAAAGTTCCCTAAATTGCTTCATACAGCTCCAAATAACAAATGTGACGATGCTCAGTCCGGGCTTGTGCCGTTTTGAAAGTGACACACAAATGTTACTCTGTTGGAGAAGTTTTATGGAGAAGTTTGCTCATTCAGACATGAAGCCGACACGCTCAGATGCCGTCAGATTAACAGACAGAATTGCAGGTCTG